TGTGCCCCTGCCACCTGTGCCCCTGCCACCTGTGCCCCTGCCACCTGCCACTGGAGCCATACAGGGCCTCGGCTATGCTCACCCTCATTGCTCCCATGATCTCCTTTGTGGACCCCCATGTATGTCCCTTGGGTTTTCTTTTCTCAGGTATGTTTGGGTATGCTTTTGGGGGACACATTCTGTTTTTGTTGCCTTGTTGGGTTTGCTTGCCTCTGGGCCCAGCTTCTTGCTTTGTGGCAGTGAGTCTAGGCCCTCCTCACCTGTGTCTGAGAGAAACTGAGCCAGATTCCCTGAGGTGGCAGGTGGATTTCTGCAAATTGTTCTCCCCGGGTTGGAAATGTTTTCCCGCTTTTTATGTTATAAACAATGGACAAGTTCCCAAACAGGAAAGTGGAAGGAAGCCCCCATCCTGTTTGTTTGTTTGTTTCAGCAGAAGGAAGGGTTTATCTGGTGCTGTGTGATTCCAGAGGGGTAGCAGCCTGTCACCATCATGGTGGAGAGCATGTCAGCAGGTAGGCAGAGCTGGTGCATAAGCTGAGCGCTCACATCTACCTCCACAGACAGCAAGTAGGGAGGGCTAGCTCGAAATGGCAGGTGTCTTTTGGAACCTCAGAGCCCACCCCCCAGTGACATATGACATACTTTCTCCAGCAAGACCACACCTCCAAGATGTAACCCACCAACTAGAGACCAAGTGTTAAAACATCTGGGCCTATGGGAGCCATTCTTACTCAAACCACCAAACTCCACTCTCTGGCCCCTACAAACTTGTGACAGTACTGTAATACAAAATACATTTAGTCCAACTTCATAAGTCTCCATCTCTTTCAGCCCCAACACTGCTTAAAAGCCCAAAGTCCCACATCTCACCTGAGACTTAAGACAGTCCCTTAACTGTAACCCCAGTTTCAGGGGGACAAGAGTCCTTTGCCATCGTGTCGAGGAGTGTGACAACAGGCAGGCCTGGCGCTGGAGCAGGGACTGAGGGCTCACATCTCTGTCCACAGACAGGAAGCTGAGGGCCTAGCTGCTTTTGGAGATAAGGTCTGAACAGCCGAGGCTGGGCGCCAGCTCCTAGCTCTTCTGCCTTCACTTCCTTGCTTTGGTAAATGGTACACAGCTGTGCCTACTGGTACGCGTGATGCGCGGCTGCTTGCCCACTACAGGTCCCTGTTGTAGCAGAAGAGACTTTGTAGATCTCATGGAAAGCTAGCTGCTATCAGCCTCCATGGTCCCGGTTCTCCGGCTCTGGGTAGGGAAGGAATGGAAACAATAGAGGCTCTGGGAGTCCCCATTAGGATCTGGGTTGTCGTATTGGTCTGCTGAGGATGTTTGCAGAAATGTCTTGCTTTCAGAGGTCAGAGGCTTTGCTCTGTGGTCCTCGTGTGGTGTCCTCCATCCTCTCCTTGGTGTAGACCAATATATCCATTCACTGGGCGCCACGTGCTATTTTGGGTTGCCTCACATGAAGCATTTAGGTGTTTGCATTGGGCCCATGAGCCTACACCCTCCTCAAAGGGAGTCATCCTGTGGTCCCGGTGCTGCTAGTGTGGAGGCCTGGCAGCTGGGGACCTTCTGACTGAGGCTGATAGTGCAGTAGAGGGGAGGGAGGTATGAGCATGGCTTCCATCAGACCACCCAGCTTCCCCAGGAAGATCTTCTGCCTGAGGCCCCATGGGGATGAAATGCCTGGGTGCAGCACAGTGGCAGTGTGGACAGTGCCAAGACAGATGGGAACCACTCGGAGTGGAGGTCCAAGATGCCTCTGCTCTGGAGGACCTGGGAGTGGAGACCAGTCCTCTCCACTGTGGCCAGATTAGGCACACTCTCCATGCCACAGGCTGGGCAAAGGAGGGCCAGAAGCACAGGCTAGGAGTGGGCCCTAGGGTCCTGAGGGGATGAATACCTGGTACCCTCACACCCAGAGCAGGGGTAGGCTGGGCTTGCTCTTGTCCCGTGGCTCTTTGGGTCTAGGTAAGTCATTTGTTCATGGTCAGCCTCAAACCCTAGTCTCTGTCCAGCAGTGCTGTGGCCTTCTGGGGACCGTGGTAAAGGGTGGTGACGGTGAACAGTGGCGGTAGCACCCTGATGGCTTCTTGCCTGTCTGAACAGACTGTCTGCTGATGCTGGTTTACAAGGACAGGTGTGAACGCACTAAGGGCCTGCGGGAGCGCAGCAGTCTCACCCTGGAGGACATCTGTGGCCTGGAACCTGCCCTGCCCTATGAGGGCCTGGCCCACACTCTGGCCATCATCTGCCTGTCCCAGGCTGTCATGCTGGGCTTCGATAGCCACGAGGCCATGTGTGCCTGGGACACCCGTATCCGCTATGCACTGGGCGAGGGTAAGTGACATGAGTTCAGGGTTTGAGGTGAGGCCTGGGGCCCTTCGTCCGTGTGGGCTGCAGAGATGGATGAGACCCCAGGGAAGCTTGTAGAAATGATGAAAATGAGTGCGTGTCTCAGAGTGAAAGAGCCGGGTGGGCACTTGGGGTGCTCAGGCTGGGGGCCGGCGCCATAGCCCTTTGAGGCCCCTAAAATGACCTTTTTAAAACTGGGACCCTTATCTAGCCAAGGTAGCCACAACCTCTCCCATTATGTCCCATGTGTTCTGTGCCAATCCCAGAACCCATGCAGAGGGAGCCACTGGGGTTGAACTTTAGAGGCTCAGGGTGGAAGGAGAGAACTGATTCCCCAGAACTATATTCTGATCCCCACAGGCAGACTGTGGCATCTGCACCCCCCAACGCACGCATGCACACAATGTTGATGATGACGATAAGTACTGAATTCTCGGCAGCCGAGGTGGAATGGAAGCTCTGCTTTCACCGACCCAAGAACAATGGCTCCTGGTGGACAGTCCTAGATCTGTGGAGTGGGCAGTGCAGCAAGGGTACAGGGCAGGCTATATTAGCGTAGAAGCTCTCATCTTTCTGGAGAGTTCTCTGGTGGTGATTCACAGCTTGGTTGCAGCCCCTCCCCCATCCAGGTAGGGCAAGGCCGTCCCACAAAGCTGCGAGCTTCCCCGGCCTCCCTCTCTGTAGATGTCAAAAGAGAACTGGTGTGACTTGACGGACCCCTGGAGACCCAAGGGTGGGGTAGGACAGACCCAAGGCCACAGCTTAGAAGAGGACCAGGTGGCATCATTACGAGGCTTCCTGTGGCTCTGGGGTCTGGAGATGGAGTGGGCAGGGGACTGGTGCATAGGCAGTGCAGGTGGGCAGGCGGATGCTGGTTCACACGCACGAGCTGCATTCTGAACTGAACTATCTAGGAGAGTGGGGAGGAAGGGACCGACTTCTGGCTTTCAAGGCAAAGGACGGAGCTGAATTCTTAAGCAGGACCATGGCAGCATCTAGCAGCCTCTGAGCCATACTAGTCTCAGGGAGACCTGCCAATCACGACCTCCTACTCTGAACACAGGGTGAAGTATACTCCATTCCATACCCTGATGTGGGACCTCCTGAACTTTGCTTTCCCTTTTTTGAAACTGGGTCATGTTGGCTGCCTTGATGGAAAGGGTGGGTCCCCAAGGAGTGGCCTTAGTACATGGGACCTGCCCTGAGTGTGTTGGGGAGGGCTAGGCAGTAGTCATTCCCTTCTGAGGATTCGCTTGTCTCTGACTAAGGAAGATCCTGGAGTTTGAGTAGGATGTAAGTGGGGCCCACTGACATCCTTAGCACTTCCTGACATTTACCATTCATTCTTGGTTGAGTGGCTGCGAGGGCACTTCACCAGTCTGACCCTGGGATACTCCTCCTCCCATCTCAGCCAACCCCTGGTAATGCCCTTTGCCCACTGTCTTGCCCTCAGTGCATAGGTTCCATGTGACGGTAGCTCCTGGCACCAAGCTGGAGAGTGGTCCAGCCACTCTCCACCTCTGCAATGACATCCTCGTCCTGGCCAGAGACATCCCTCCAGCCGTCATGGGGCAGTGGAAGCTGTCTGATCTCCGTCGCTACGGGGCTGTGCCAAATGGATTCATCTTCGAAGGCGGGACCAGGTGTGGGTACTGTAAGTATGCTGTGCGTGGGGCATCCTGGGGACACTTGAGCTGACCGGCCTACACATGTTGGCTTGGGGACCTGACAGGAGACTGTGGGCTGTGTCCCCAAGCAACAGGGCTGCAGCCACTCAAGCTGGGAATGGCACTCGGCTAGACCCTAACTGTTTCTGGGAATGGGAGGGAGCCTGATGGATCCTGGGAAACTCCAGATAACAGCCTAGTGTCACTGTATGGCTTGTGTATGAGGTCACAGTGTCAGAGTTCCTTCTGTTCAAGTTAAATGACAAAAATACTAAAAAAAAAGGGGGGGGGGCATGAGTGACGTCCCATGGATACTCCAGTCGGAGTCCATTTACTGACACAAAATTCCTCTAGACACACCAGCTGCTTAGACTGCTGAGCTGCTCAGAGCTGCCTGGATGTCAGCAGTGAGATGGCCACGTGTGGGGAGGGTGGGTCTGGCCCCCCAGAGGTACGAAGGTCCTTCCCCTGAGTCTCCAGACTCATGCCATACTTGTGTGATCAGGGTGAAGTGAGTGCAGAGGCTGGGACAGCCATAATGGGCTGGTGTCTGGTAGCCAGGATGGGAGCTCACTGGGGGGTGGTGTTTGTGTCCCAGTGACCTTCTGCTCCACTACTCTCTAAGGGGACTGTGTGCATGGTGGTGGAGTGTGGACCAGCAGTCCCTGAGGGAACAGAGCCCTTCTCCCCTCTTGAGAGGCCATCTGCACTACTCATGTATGCTGACTGCCCAAGGTGCTCATCTTCCTGGCAACCCGGCCTCCTGGGGCTGATGGGACTATGGTTAGTTGCTGGATTAAGGCGACGGAGCCCCTGTTGTCTAGAAGCCCAGACCTTGAGTAGTGGAATTCATAGGTCAGGCAGGGGAGACTCCTGTAACCTGTCCACCCACCCTCCCCTTTCAGGGGTGTAACCCTGACCTATGCTGGGGTATGAGGAGGGTATGAGATGTAGGAGTTTGGGCTCAGCCCCTGTATAGCATTGTCAGGCTCAGCATGGCCTGATTGGGTTGTGCTGGTCACTGACTGCCTGGACCCCATGTTTTGCAAAGACCTGAGTTGGACACCATGCCCCACAGTCTCTGTTGGATACTAGGAGCAGACAGTGGGCCTCTGAGTGGGAGGCAGTTCCATGGGGACCTTTGAGGAGCTAAAGCCTGATGTGCAGAGGTGCCGAGCCAAGGGATACATGAGGCCATGAAGCAAGGCAACATTCCTCCCAGGACAAAGAGGCAGCATGACCTCACTGTGCAGTGACAGCATGACCTCACAGCGCAGTGGCAGCGTGACATCACAGCACAGTGGCAGCATGACATCACAGAACAGTGGCAGCATGACCTCACAGCGCAGTGGCAGCGTGACATCATAGCACTGTGGCAGCGTGATCTCACTGCACAGTGGCAGCATGACATCACAGCACAGTGGCAAACACAGCCATTTCCCAAGCCAGCTGTGGTGTTCAGTCTTCTTCCTTGGCAGGTGTCAAGAGCAGGGAGATTCCAGGATGGCCTGTGGTTGGGGTGGTGGAATGGCTGGTTGGTCCCCTCTGTCGTTTGATAGCTGGGAACTACAGCCAGTCAGTCACACAGTGGCCTCTCCCTCAGGGGGCCTCTCAATTTGGGAGTTCCTGGAGTCACACCGATTGAGGAGTGGGGAATCCTTGCTTCGGTCTGTGGGATTCCCAGGTACAGGTTAGATGTGGTGCTGGCCAACATGCCCTCCAGGCTGGACAGGTCTCTCAGATGGGCTGGGCCAGAGGATCCGTTTCCATGGAGGCCTGTTGCCTTTATCTAGGCTCCAGTGGATTAGAGCCTGCTGTATGTTTCTCCTCTGGGCCCTCTGAGTTTCCAACTTGGTCTCTTGGTGCCAGTGGGCTCCTTTCTGCTTGTCATCGTCCTGGGCACTGAGTGCTAGTGCTGCCAAGAAAGCAAGTGTCTGACCTGGGCTGTTGTGTTTTCCCTGCGTCTGCGGTAAACTATTCAGGGCTGACCAGAGGCTTCTGAGCAAGGTCCTGAATTAGCTTGTCAATGGCAGGAATTTGCCTGGAACCAGTGTGCCTGGAGCCGGCTAGTCTGGGTCCTGCTTCAGAACCCTGGCACTGGCACTGTTGGGAATTCTCTCCCTCCAGACCAAAGCCTACTTGGCCCATAGGTCCCTGGCTGCTGGAAAATACTGTGTGGTGACCATGGGTAGGTGCTGCATTAGGACCAGGGAGCCCCTGTTGTCTAGAGGCCTGGACCTTGAGTAGTGGAATTCCTAGGTCAGGCAGGGGAGACTCCTGCAACCTGTTCACCCACCCTCCCCTTGTCAGGGGCGTAACCCTGACCTATGCTGGGGTCAGGAGGAGGGTGTGAGGTGTAGGAGTTCGGACTCAGCTCCTGTACAGTATCATCAGGCTCAGCATGGCCTGATTGGGTGTATCCACAGGGATGTGGGGCTGATGCCTCCCTCTCTCTGGGAAGGTCAGTGTGGAGGGACTGACTAGGAGAGCCCACCCCTTTGTCCCTGCCAGGTGCCCTGGAGCTCTGTTCTCCAATCGGAACAAGCTTGGCTCTGCTGTAACCGGTCATAGAAACTGCTGCAGCCAAGCTGTGACTCCCTGACACAATATGGAACACAAGGCAGGTGGGCAGAAGAGGTGACTGGAGGCCATGCATTTGCTCTGCCTGTGGGCAAACCTCAGGAAGGAGCTCCAGCCCAGTGTGGCTCATGGAGCAGCAGGATTCTGCAGTCTACCATAGACCAGGATGGTGTTGTTAGGACAACAGAAATCGACTCCTTCATAGTTTGAGGTCAGCGGTCCCCAATGTAAGATCCTTCCTCTGGGGCCTCTGGGGGGTTATTTCTGATTTCCTTACTGATTGCATTACTGGTGTCCCAGCCTGTGCTCTCTCTCTCTCTCTCTTTCTCTCTCTCTCTCTCTCTCTCTCTCTCTCTCTCTCTCTCTCTCTCTCTGTCTCCCCCTCCCCCTCATTGAACCTGGCTATAGGGTCACTTGCATCAGCCAGAAGAGTATTGTGTTCACATTCTAACCTAGTCTACCTGCAAAGACCTTTTCCATATTACATATGTGGACAGGTCTTTTGGGAGCCACCATTTAGCCACGATGGTTATGAAAATTGAGTCATGGTGCCTATGACTTAGTCACGTCTAACTTGGAGTACAAATGGCTAAAGGATTTATCAGAAGGCCTTGGAAGCATCAGCCTTCTCTTTCCCCCCTGAGGCCAGATCCCAGCCTGGTTCCTGCCCCCTCTAGAACCATGCCCTGCGGCTCTTCCCTAGCCTGCTCCCCCAGAGAGATTAGAGGTGACCCTGTACCCCAGGTTACTTTTCACCTACGCAAACTTGTTGGTTTGGCCGAGTGTCAGGGGCCTGGTAGGGAAGAGAGGTGCTGGGACCACTGCTCTGCAGCAGGCTCGGTGACAGCCAGCATAAAGGCACCCCAGGAGGAGGGAGGGACTAGGAAGGGAAGGCCTGTGGGGGAGGGCAGGTGAGGCTGACATTAAGGACAGACAGAAGTTTCTGGAGGAGGAAACTAACATGGGAAGTCCCCGCTCCTGCCAACTGCAGGGCTTTTTAGGACCATCTCCATCCCTGTCCCCAGGATGACAAGATCCTCTAACGCTAAGAATTCAGTCGATGATACATTCTTAATGCTAAGACTTCTGTCTGAACAGCAGGAAGATGCCAGGTTGTCCCCTAGTCTGGGTCAGATCATCTTGGTGGCCCTCTCTCACATACTGTGCCTATCCTGGCCCTCCCTCTGTGGAATCGCCTAGAGTCCCCAGGAAGTACATCTCAGGACTGTTCCCCCTTCTTGGCATCATTTCTGGCCCCAGCATCCCTCTGCTACAATCATGGCCACTACAGACAGGTTGTTAGCCCCCTTTGGTGGTATTTGGCAAACACAGGTTTGAAGCAAATAACTGTGTATGATTCTGACACACAGAAGCGAAATATAACCTCATGGGTTCTCACAGAGACATAGAGTCCTGGGAAAAGGCAAGAGAAACGGACACAGATACTGGAGAGCTGCCCCAGGCTGGCCACTAGAGCAGTGTGTTTGCTAGGCACTTGGGAATGACACCCACAGAACCCACGGTACAGTCTGGAAGGGCTAGAGGGGCCTAGAAGATTCTGGTTTCTCTCCAGATGAGAACAGGAAATGTTAGTTGCAGGGTGGCTGCAACAGAGTGACTGTGGTGGGGGTGGCTGCTGCGGGGTGGCTGCAGTGGGGTGTCTGCAACGGGGTGGCTGCTGCAGGGTTGCTGTAGTGGGGTGGCTGCAGCGGGATGGTTGCAGCAGGGTGACTGCAGCGGGGTGGCTGCAGTGGGGTGGCTGATAGTTTCCAGGAGTGCCATCTGCATGGCAACTGTTGGAGAGGCAGGACCTCATGCTTACGTGGGAGCATCAGGATCAGGGCTGGGATGAGGACCCTTGGCTCTGCGGAGCCCAATGCCTTCGTAATGCTTTCTTCATGGGCAGCAGGGTAGTGATGCAGGCATCCCAGACGGGTATCCCTCTGGAACAAAGGCCCTTGGACTCAGTGGTGGAGTGACATTCAAGAGATGTGGCCATTTATAGGGATTTTTCTATGGCCTCCAGAGAAGATCCTGCATTCAGTGACTGGTATTGAGTCAGGCCCCTGGGGCTGACAGTCACGATTCTTCAGACCCGTGGTCATGTCTCTACGGTTCTGCTGACCTGGGTTTGAGTGGACTCTCTCCCTTTATCATATAGTGACATCGGCATACAGAGTGAGTCCAGGCCCCATCAGTGTGGTATCTTCTGTCACATAAGGTCCAAACTGGCCATGGTGGTCTTCCTGAGAGCTGCCCTACAGGACACTGGGAGGGACACATCTAGGTGCTCAGATGTTCCCTAGCTCATGGGGCCCCACCCATGGGTTTCCACCCTCTCTCAGTTTTGAGGAAGAGGAGACTGAGGCATGGGCTGCCGTGGGTACTCATGACCATGTGGAGACAGTTGTAGAAATGACCCAGTTCATGTTTGTCTGTGCAGCTGTTCCTGGGGAAGGGTGGGGCTGGCTGCTTACCCTAGGCCTGCATCCGCCACGTGCCAGCCCTTCTTCCTCTTGAGGAACAAAAGGCCTTCTTGGGCAGAGTGGGCACCAAGCTGGGAGCCAGGGAGTAGGACCAGCTGCTAGGTAATCCAGACACTGCCAGCTGTCAGCAGCTACCAGCTGTGTCCTCTGGGGACTAATTTGCCGCAAGCTGTTAGAGAGGAGAGGCACGGTGTCCTCTGACCTTTGAGACAGGCCATGTGACCTCCTGGGGTACAAGGAGACTTCGTGTCTCAGCCCAGGCTGCTACATAGGAGAATTAGGTTCCTAGACAGAGACATCACTCTTTGGGGATGCCAGTGATGGTGTGTAACTGGCTGTCATTCTTCAGAACACATGGGATGGAGCTCAGTGCCCTGACTTCCTCATCTGGACAGGAAAGCCCGTGTCAACCCCCACCATGTAACTCCCTCTTGAGGTGGCCCTATGCACCTACAGCGTACCTGAACTTGGATTTCGGGGTCTCCCTTCCTGAGGTCTGGAAGTGACCCCACCCCATGCCCAGCCTGAGCCTGGCTGCTCACTCTCCTCCTGAGGACCAGGACCTCAGCTTGGTCTTCAAGAAACAAAAGAGTGAGGGCCTGTTAGGATCCTGGTGTAGGCTGCATAGGTGAGCAGGATCCCCCAAGGCCCAAAGCAGGCAGAGGAACGGGAGTCATGGAGGAGTGACCTCATCCGGGCCTGTAGACTGTTCCACGGGTGGATGAGGGTGCTGCCAAGGGTGCCCAGTGACAAGTGACAGGGTCTTTAGCTGATGGCCCTCACTCTGCTCAGGAAGATGCTGGTCCCCGCTGGGCCAAGCCTGGGACATTTTGAAGTGTGTGTGTGTGTGTGTGTGTGTGTGTGTGTGTGTGTGTGTGTATCTAGAGGTCATTGTCATAGTGATGTTAAGGACATTCTCCACTAGAGCAAAAGTTGGTACACCCCAAGAATGTAGTGCAATTAATAAACAAAAAGCAGAGACAGAAATTGGGGTTCAGTCTGAAAGTCAGAAAAGCAAAACAGCAAGCCACTGGCCCTTACTTCTACCTCAGTCTGAAATGGTGATCCTGCCTCCAGGAATCTCAGAATGAGACTGTATCTGAGAGCTGTCTCCTCCCATCTTATAGTCCTCTCTAGGGCTGGGATTAAAGGCAAGCATCATTGGGATTAAAGGCTTGCACCACCTGGTTTCTATGGCAAATTAGTGTGGCTACTGGGACTAAAGGTGTGTGTTACCACTGCCTGGTCTGTAAGGCTGACCAGTGGGGCTGTTTTACTCCCTGATCTTCAGGCAAGCTTTATTTATTAAAATACAAATAAGATATCACTACACAGGAGCTCTTGGTTCTTCATCTTCGGGTCCTTGTATTACCCATTGCCATGTAGTAAATACCCCAAGTGTAGTGTCTGTTCTGCTGTTTAGTTCTGGGTCAGAATTCAGAGCAGGGCTCAGTGAGATGGCTCACCTCTGTCCCACGAGACAGAATGGGTCACTCAAACAGTGAAAGACAGATGGTGGCAGGTCCTGTGCTTGGTAGGGAGGCCACAGTTCCTCTTGGGACCCCCTTTTCTAGCAGAATAGCTGGACTTTTCTACATGGTGATGGTTCCAAGAGGGCACAAATGGGTGGTGCCCGGCTCCCTCAGGGGCCTCGTCCCAGAACTGGAAGAACAGAGTGTTACCTTGGTTACTTTATACTATTTAGAGGAGGCTCAGACTGGCCCTGGGGCAGTGAGAGAAGGTGACCTAGACTCCTGGGTGGGGAGTCAACTGGACAGAGAACCTGGGCTCCAGCCTTTCTTAGAACATACAAGCCAATAAGCAACACAGACGTTCCTGGAGGCATCTTTTCGCTCTTACCTAAGGGAGGCTCCTCGGGCAGCAGATCCTGGGAGGTCATCAGGGCCACTGCCACACGGTGTTTGGTCTGGGGTCTAGTGCAGCAAACATGTAAAGGGATGTGAGGCAGAGTAAGCATAACGAGGTCTGAATCAGATGTAAAAACATCTCAGGATGAACATCCGGCTTCCTTAGAGAGGGGTAAGGGTCAGGGTTTGGCATGACTTAATAAAAGGTGCTATCTTAAAGGATAAGACTTGTTACAGTCTAAGGAGTATGGATGGGCGTCTCCCATGTGGAGGCATGCTAGGTAGGGCAGGCATGTTTAAGGAGCCCTGGGTGACTCTGAGATCCTTTGACAGGTAGGGCGGACAGAGGAAACAGGGTCAGAGATAGAAATGCATCCCAGGGAAGCCTCATCCCTGAACTCTGAGATCCCAGGTTAATGGTCCCTTGAAGATAGGTGCCCTTTAGAGCTATAGATGGGGTGGCTAGAAGGGATGCCACATGGGCATTTTGGGCCCAGGTTGGTAGCTGCTGGGCTCCTGGGCCTTGTCTGGCTGATCGCATCTCCTGAGCAGCATGATACTCCGCAGACGCCGCCGTGGTGGAATGCAGGGCCGGCTCCACTCCCTTCGGTAATGTGGTTTTTTATAGTCGGGGGACTGATTGTCCTGCGGTTTCTGCCAGCTGCCTGTAAGCTCAGGATTAGAGGCCTGGCCTTCCATGAGAGCTGGGGCCAGACTGACTGAGCCCTACAGTGGGTGGGGTGGTAGATGGGGACAGGGAGCAAGCACGGGATGCTTTGTGTGAGCTGGCCAGCAGATGGGAGCCAGCCTCATGAGCATACTTTGCTTAACCAAGGCCCAACAGAGTTCTTGGCTTGCAGAGTCCATCTACCAGATCCACCAGGGCCTTTCGGAGCCAGTAAGCCTCTGGAGTTGGCCTCCTGGGCGGGCTTCAGGGTAGCTATCCACTCCTGCTCCATGTCCCACTTTTTCTTTTGGTCTACAACTTCCCAGTGTAGAACCAGTTCTATGGTGCTAGGCAGTGTCCCAGCGGCCTCTTGCCTGGGATCATAGACATTCTTACTTGCTATGGATTCTGTTCCCCTATCTCTAAAACAAGAATGGCATTGCTATACCAGGTGGTTTAAGACAATACGAAGCTTCAGCAATCACAGATGCTGTCATTGTCTGTGTGCACTGGGGCAGCCATACAGGGGTGCAGCAGCAATCACAGACGCTGTCATTGCCTGTGTGCACTGGGGCAGCCATGCAGGGGTGCAGCAGCAATCACAGGTGCTGTCATTGCCTGTGTGCACTGGGGTGGCCATGTCCACGTGTCTTGGTACTGGTTGAGTCCCTGGAATCCACCGCTTCATGTTTAGCAAAGAAGTGTGACCTAGAGGCAGAAATTTTAGCAAGGGGACTTCTCAGATCTTACCTCTTTCGCCAGTCCTAGAGCTGTCCCTGCCTTCTGTCCCTGAGAATCCTGCATGGACCCTGCCTGCCTTTCTTTGGGCAACAGGCAGAGGTCTGGAGCAGAGAGAGATTCTTGAGTGGTGACATACCGAGTGTCCAGTCCCGTGGCCTTGGCTCAGCAAGTGGGTGCAGCCATCCTGGCTGCTCTTTCATTCACTCGGCCAGGGAGGGATTTCATTCACCCTTGGTGGAGGCACGGCCCAGCAGGAGGGCCGGCCTGGTGCCTGATGGCAGATGGCCTCGGGGTGCCCTCCCTGCTGACTCACTGCTCTGGGCTCCTCTGGGCACAGAGGCTCTGAGCACCTATGTGGTTCCTCTGCCCAAGTGACCCTGCACTGATTGTACACCATTCCTTCCTTCTGCCGAGTGGGCAGGAGGGACAGAGTCAGCCCTGGGACACAGGTGCTACCTCAGGGCTTCGTCTTTACCCTTTGACCTCCAAGCAAAGGAGAGGTCAGTCTTAGTGTGTGGGGGGACACTGTACTGGTCAGAGTGACAGTTGATCACTTGTGGTGTGGGCGCCACAGTGGGACAAACATCTACAGGTGACTTGACACAGTCCTGGGTGAGGGTCTGAGTCAGCCTTGGCCATACTAAGAGACCCAAGGAAACTTCCCAGAAGTGCCTCCCTTGTCGTTAGCGCAGGCTGGGGAAGAGCGTCCAGAAGCTTGGAGGGAGCCTGGAGGGCAGAGGGTGGCCTGGCCTGCGTGTCTCCCCACAGGAGGTGCGTGCAGCGGGTTGCTGAACATCCTTTCAGGAGAGTAGTCTTGGACAGAACAGTCAGGACAGGTTGCCCTCATGAGCTGTGGGCCTGCTGTTCCCAGGCCACGCGATACTGTCTGGGAAGGACACCCAGCTGGCATTTTGACACAAATTTCCCTGTCAGTTCCCAGGCATTGCTAAAGAGACAGCACTCCACTCAGTACCCTTGGGACACATTTATGGGCTTCCTAGGCAACAGAAGAGGCACGTGGGGTCTGGGGCCCTGGGGGTGTGGCTTCGTGACAGTATAAAGTCGCTTGGATTTGGGCTGGAGATTGCTTCCCAATCTTTCTTGCATCCCAACCCCAGACCGACTCTGGGTGTCTCTCCAACCCCTGCTGGGTCTGGCTGACCCCTGTGTCTCTCTGTCCTTCTTCTGCAGGGGCTGGAGTCTTCTTCTTGTCCTCAGCTGAGGGAGAGCAGATCAGCTTTCTGTTTGACTGCATTGTCCGAGGCATCTCCCCGACCAAAGGCCCGTTTGGGCTTCGGCCAGTTCTCCCAGGTGTGTGTGGGAATGTGGCAGGGGAGGTGCCCTTGGTGGTCTGGGGACTGGTAATCTGCTTCATCAGTCTAGTGATATGGCCTGCCCTCTCCCATCCACAGCTGAGAACCCTAGAGCCCACTGGCCTAGGACAGTAGCGCTCTAGTCTCTGTACAGCCTGGGGCTCCTAAGGGGGTCAACCTCTCCTGCAGTTGCCCCTCCTTCACGGACATGGACCACTGGGACACCAGGGCTTGTAGCCCTCTGGTTGACCCAGGCAAGTCACAGTTGCTGAGGCTGAACAGCAAGTGGCCCAAGACCCTGGAGATGGAGCAGAGACAGCCTGGCTCCAGGCCACTGACTGGGGACAGTTGATATTTCTCTGATGCTAGGGGTCAGGACCATGGTGTCTGAGCCTGGCATTTGGCTCGGAGTCACTCTGTGAGATTATCTTGTATGTGTGGGGTTTCAAGATGTATTTAGGGTGGGCTCCACTTAAGCATGCCTCTTATTTAACCTCTCATCCCCAAAGTGGCTGAGGGCACCTTGGACCCATCTTGCGAGGGTGGAGAACACATTTTCAAATGCTGAGCCAAACTCATGGGCACCAGGCCCTCCTAATCTGCTGCCCCCTGCACCCCAGTAGCCAGCAAGAGAGCTGCAGGAGAGCCCGGAGCCTTCCCTGTGGTCCGAGCCCTCCTGCAGTGCCCCCTGCTGGTGTTTCTCTGCCTTGCAGTTGCAGATGTACAGTGTGGAGGGGAAAATGCCAGTGGGCCACCTGGGTGTCAGGGTGTGGCGGGACTGTGTTTTTTCCCCAGAGACACACATTTCTAGAGGTTCCTTGGAGCATATGCACCCCCCCCGACCCACACTGGTGTATATGCCGCTGTTGGTGTGCCCAGAAACAGGACTTGGGCTTTAGGGGCATCGACTCTCCTGCTTGTTTTAAATGATTCTGGGTGAAGGGAGTACTGGACACCACACTGGGCAGAGGATGACATAGAAGGCTCCTCTTGGAAATGAGTTGTACCCCAAACCAGGCAGGGAGTGGGCTGTCCCCAGATAGGGCTGGGCTGGTGGGGTACCCTGACCTGTTCCACAGCTGTCTTAATCAGGTCATCTGGGTATGCTCAAACAATGCCACTGCCAGGGCCTGGGTCTGCAAGCATTGTATCCTAGGTGTCCTGCTCAGATATATGGGGCCTTGGGTCGCCCCGGCATGCCAACTGTGTGGATCAGAGTCAGCATCCAGCTAGGGCAATTGTGGAGTCCTACAGCATTGACCCATGTGGAGAGAGCTTATGGGAGGACAAGGACCCTGTGGATGGTATGCCATCAAAGTCCCACAACCCTGAGGGGCTCTGAGAATGCACACGTTTGAGCAGTGCCCCACACTCTAGGTTGCAGGTATGCTATTGTGTGGGCTCTCACGGGGGTCAGATCCACTGAGGCCTCAGTCCTCCACATGAAGACCTGAACCCAAAGCGGGCAGGAGGGAAGGGGAAGATAGAGGATTCTGGGAACTCCTGCTCTGAGGATAGCATTCATGGTGCTTTTGTGGCCCTTTCTAATTGGGGGACACTTGCCGGAGGCTTGGCATTCATAGCTGGGGAAACCCCAGGCAACAAGGTGTCAATCATAGAAACTCCCCTCTGGGCGCTCTGGGGCTCACTGTGTTCCAAGGTATTTCTGAAGGAAGGAGGAAGGGTACTGTGAGCTAGAATGGGGTGGCCAGAGGCGTGGCCAGAGGCCTTCCTTACAGGATAGATTTTCTACATGGCAGTGGGTGTGCAGGGAACATGCGCGGGGTCAGAGGAGCAGGTCCCCACTGCTTCTAGCCTGGCTACCTCTCAGCCAAATGTTGACATTGTCAAGGGCTTCAGATAGGCAGTGTGGATATGGGCAAGGAGGGCCTTGTATGAGCACCCCAGCAAAGACAGGAGAGGAGAGTGCCTGGGGAGAACAGGGTGGCAACCTTCCTGCTCTGTCACCTATAATGGTATGGCTCAGAGGTGGAAGACGGTGAGGGGCCAGGAAAAGATCCCACCCAACCTGGTTCCTGCGGGCAGTAACAGGTACAGGGAGGCATTTTATTCAGACCGAAATGGAGCTCTGAGAAGTGGGCGTGGTGAGCTAGGGCTGGGCAGACCTCTCTAGATGAGGGAAGGTATGGTCCTGAGAAGGTACCATCATCAGCAAGGAGAAGCTCATACCCGGGGAGGGTGGGGATTGTCACAAGGACAGGGACCCAGGCTGGGCAGTTGTGTGCCTATTCTTAGGGGACAAGAACCTGAGCTGGGGGTTATACACAGACAGGCACATATGCTGGACAGATAGGGGACCAACTTCAGGGCCAGAGACTCAGGTTGAGAAGTTCAGGGGCATGTCCACAGGGACAAGAACACGGACTGGACAGATGGGGGCTTGTTCACAGAGAGAGACCTCAGCTGGGCATCTAGAGGGTCTGAGTAGCCTGTGTTTGATGCCCAGCAACCAGGCCAAGGTGCAGGGCAGGGCTGGGCCTCCTAGAGGCTAGCTCAGGATGCCTTGGCTGTGAAGGTTCTAGGCTCGCCAGGTGTCCTAGTGGTGTAGGGGTGGAGTATAGGGATGGTGAAAGGGTGGGGTGTAGGGGTGGTGAAGGGGTGGGGTGCAGGGGGGTGCAGGGGTGGTTGTCGCCTTACTGATCCTTTTCTCTGCACAGACCCGAGCCCTGGGGGGCCCTCAGCCTCAGAGGAGCGTGTTGCCCAGGAAGCTCTGGAAGCCCTGCAGCTGGAGAAGCGGCTTAGCCTGCTTTCACACTCTGGCCAGCCAGGCAGTGGAGGTAGAGTCAGTGGTGGGTTCTATCTGGGCTGCAGGGACCTCTAAGTACTTACCTCCCCACTCCGCTTCAGGTCGGACAGCAGTCTATCTGCATGGAGTCTCCTTGTGTACACACTCACGGCCCTTCTGCCCGGTGCAGGTAGCTGCCATGCATCTCAGGCATCCTTCTCCCTCTTGTTCATTCATTCTTTACCTACCCACCCACCCACCCACCCACCACCCACCCATCATCCACCCACCCATCCACCCACCCATCATCCACCCACCCATCCACCCACCCATCATCCACCCACCCATTCACCCATCCATCCACCCATTCACCTATCCATCCATCCATCCATCCACCCACCCATCCACCCACCCATCCATCCATCCATCCACCACCCACCCACCCATCCATCCATCCATCTACCCATCCATCCACCCATCCACCCACCTATCCACCCATCCATCCACCACCCATCCATCCATCCACCCACCCATCCATCCGCCACCCATCCATCCACCACCCATCCATTCATCCATCCATCCACCCACCTGTCCATCCATCCATCAATCCATCCATCCATCCATCCATCCACCCACCCATCCACCCATCCACCCATCCACCCACCCATCCATCGATCCATCCATCCATCCATCCATCCAGTCATCTTTCCTTCTCCTCATTCATTCCTTTGTCACCACCCATTTAGCCACTCATTGCTCCCCTTCCTACTCTTCCTTTCTTCTTTCTCTTACTCATTCATGTGTTCTCCCCTCATCCACTCACTATCCTATAAACTTATCAAACGCCAACCGCAACTGTGATGGGAAGTGTGACTTGACTTTGAATCCCTTCCCACCCACTAGCTGTGTGGCCTGGGCAAGGCCCAAGGCTTCTACAATTTAGCTTGTTTGTTTTCTGGCAAAATGCTCAGGAGCCACCTGAGCTGGCTTCCCAGGAGCAGATGGTCCTCTGTAGCTACTGTCAATGGTAACATTGGTGGTCGAACCTGGAAGCCTGGCAAGGAAGCCTTGGCAGGTGGGCTTTACCAGGTCTTCCTTGGTCAGAGAAATACTGTCTGGTGCCTCTTGCCGTCCCTAGAGGTCCACAGCAGGACAGTGGCCCTCTCCCCTCCCAGTCCCTCCCTCAAGAAGCAGGGACTCTCAAGGTTGCAATAAGCTATCTTATCTCCTTGCGGGGTTCACTGGTAATCTGCTCAGGGAGCCCTGCAAGCTAAGCCAGGCAAGCTGAGAGGAGAAGCAGAGATGGTGTGAGTTTTTTCCATGCACACAGTAAGGCAAGGCAGAGCCCTGGCAGGATGGGATGGATGGGTGGTGGACAAGATTTGATCCCAGGCAGGCTCTTGTCCTTAGAAGCTCACAGTCCCACGTGGGGAGGTCGCAGTGATGGAGTCAGAGGAAGGGACGGACTGGGTGGGGCAGCCTGGTGTGAGCACACCCAGAATGCTGAAGGAGGATAGGTTGCCCCAGGTCTCGGCTGGGCTAGAAGTTGCCAGGGTAGTAGTCAGAAGAGTTGGACCAGGAGAGGAGGAGGGAGCTCAAGATCTGGGTCACAGATACACAGCATGGAGGGGCTGGAGGCAGGTGCCTGCCTGGGGTGAGGGACTGTATAGGTGAGGGTGGAGTCCAGGTAGAGAGACTCAGACCGGGACCGAGGAAGTGCCTGGGGAGCGGGGAGGGAAGCATAGGGGCTCTCAAAAGGCTGCCACTGAGAGTAGGCCAGGGGTTGGACCCTGACCTGCTGCTCCAGCGCCCAGGTTTGGGGCTGGGGAGAAGCGGACTGTCATAGCATACTCATTGATCACACCCCCTGCTTGGACCCCCCCAGCAGCCTCACTTTCTGCTTTGTCTCAGGGGATGATCGAAGCCTATCCAGTTCTTCTTCCGAGGCCAGCCACTCAGACGTCAGTGCCAGCAGCCGGCTCACTGCGTGGCCAGAACAGTCCTCATCCTCAGCCAGTACATCACAGGAAGGGCCAGGGCTGGTGGCTGCCCAGGGTCCAGGAGAAGCCATGCTGGGAGCCTCCAGGCCACCCCTCAAGCCACTGCGGCCTCGGCAGTTGCAGGAGGTTGGCCGCCAGAGTTCCTCTGACAGTGGCATCGCCACGGGAAGCCACTCCTCCTACTCTGGCAGCTTCTCCTCCTATGCTGGCAGCAGCCTGGACGTGTGGCGGGCTGGAGAGGAGTTTGGTTCTCTACTTAGCCTGCCTTCTGGAGCCAGTGCACCTGAGCCCAAACTGTGTGCCTGCCCACCTGGGGTGGCCGAATACCAGGTGCCCACCTCGTTAAGACACCACTATGACACACCTCGAAGCCTGCGCCAGGCCCCCAGAGACCCAAGCCCAGCCTCTCAAGGCAGCTCTGACCACGGTTCGGCCACGGACTTGGGTGGTCAGCCACCGATGGGGTGTCCCTCCAGTTGCCTGGGAGCTCGACGACGGGGACAGGCAACAGAAGGCCCAGGCAGTGAAGCCACGCGGCCCAGTCCGTCCCCTGGCGAGTCCTGGGAAGCAGGCAACCCCCATGCAGGGCCGCCTCCGGCTTTCTTTTTGTCATGTTCAGTCTGTGGCGGACTCAAGGTAAAGCCCCCTCCCTGAGATAGCAGGCTGGCCACTGCTGCCAAGGGCTGGATATGGCCCCTCCAGACAGGAGAGGAGGGGCCCTAGCCTCTTTGCAGAGGGGATGCTCTGTGCTGTTTTAAGAAGCTGCCAGACCTGTAGCAAGGGCCTCAGGGGCAGGATGACAACCACAGGGCTGTCCTCCCCTAGGTGGGCGCTGTGAGTGCCAGTGACAAAGGCTGGGCAGGTTGGGGTCAGGAGAGCCACTGATCCAACTTCTCCTGCCATCTTCTTACCTTGTGGATCACACATGGGGGTGCTATGCCCGTGGGCTTCTGGCATGTATTTCACTGCCGGGGGCAAAAGATCTCCATGACTGAGGTCAGTTCTCAGTGACAACGAGGCTTGGCCTGGTCCACTATCTCTTCCTGGATAACCAACCCTCTGTCATTGTTGGTTATTTCTGCAGTATTACAAACATACTTCCTACCCCAAATCAAATCTGCTGCAACTGCTCTAGACTTCCTAATTCTGTGAGCCAGCAGCTCTGCGTCCGCAGCCCACAGACTGGGCACGGTCTATGTATGATCTGCTTTGCTTGTCATCTTGCAGCACCCACAGGTGGGGTCGGTGTCCCATCCCATGGGGAGGAAACTGACGCTCAGGAGGCTCCATGACTGAGGGGTCTATGACTTTGACCCCCTCTGCACTTGAGCCCGCTCCCGGGCTCCCGGAGGGCTCTGAGAAGTGGGCTGCCAGAGCGTGCAGCACCACCAAGAGGTTGAGTGTTCCCTAGGTGCCCGAGATCAGTTTGCTGGAGGGTCTCTTGCAGAATCTCCCAGCAGTATTCCCCTGTGCCTTCTTGCTGGGACCAGGAAGCTGGTGGCCAGGACCAGGTGGAAGAAATCAGGGCTCCCATGGCATTTTGGAGGGCTCTGACCCTACCTGCAGTTCACCCTGCTTCTGTGTTTGGGTGTCTCCCACCCCAGGCTGTGTGTTCCCTTGCGCAGAACAGAGGGGCTCTGCTTCCCCGTGTCAGAAGGTCGGTGTGGCTGTGCCCACCTTTTATGAGTCCCTCCATTGGCACCTGCAGCCCTGACCTGGCAGGCCAACTCACCTGTAAATGCCTCCATCTGTACCTGGCACCGTCGGCCAATCCATGTTGCCGTATTGCGTTTTTAAAATCTATTTGTAATACATTCTCAGACTGGAAATAAAGTTGTCTTTTCTTACTGTCTTGCCTTGTTCCATTTGACCAACCTTCCTTCTAGGTCTAGGACTGAGGAAACTCCAGGGGCCTGGCCCTCAGCCTGAGGTCTGGGTGTCGTGGACATGGGAAAGAGATGAGTGGGTTTGGATAGCCCTGGGGGGGGGGGACGACGACAAGTTGTGTATGTGTGTGTGTGCGCGCGCACGCGAATGGGGGTGGTGGGAAGCTTATAGTGTGTGTATCATGTGTGGCTTGTGGAAACCACACTGAGGTGAGCCGTGGTCATTCAGCCTCAGGCCCAGGGCTGCCCATGTACAGTACTGCATTTTCATTTCCCCATGCCATGCGAGGTCTGCTCTGAGCTCAGACTCACCCAACCCCTAACCCAGCCCCACCCATCTCATTCCCTCTCTGCTAGAGAGAGCTCTAGGCAGCAGCGCCTCCCTGCCTGCCTGTTTTCATCCTTGCTGGCAGCCATGCTGGAAATTGGGGAGCCTGGCTCCCCCAAGCTTCAGTGTAGGGAAGAGCAGGCTCTGGGGGCTTGGCCACAATCACTACCCACTGACTGGGTGACCCTGAAAGTCAGTGTACCTCTGTGAGCCTCAGTTTCCTTCCTCATTGATGGGTAACCGTCCTCACCTCATGGGCTGGCCCCGGGGTCTGATGAGATCCTATGTGAGCACCCAGCAGATGCGTGTTCATTAGGGGAGACACGCATTCTTCCTGCAGAAGGACCGAGAAAGCTCCCAGGGCCAGGGAGTCAGTGAGATGGCCGGCCAGAGGGGTAGGCACTGCTCTGCCCCCACGCCCTTGTTCTCTTACTTAGCTCTCTCTGCTCCTGTGGGTCCTCCCTGCAGCAGGCAGAAAGATGCCCAGGTGGGCAGGTCTGGTAAGGTTGAATCCATGCTGTTGAAGCCTCGGATGTTCACCCTCTACCTGAGGCGAACTGGCCTGCGTCCTGAACCTGGGTGGGTGAGGGTTGGCCTGTGAGTAAGAAGCCCTCCCCTCAGGAAGAGAGCACCGTGACACACGGAGAGAAGGGGGACATCAGGTGGAAAGTCTCGGGGGGACGGCCATCCCAGGCTCTTCTCCTGTGCCAGTCCCCTCAAGACACTAGAAGCCCCAGCAGTTTGCAAAGTTGTCAGTGATTAGGACCCGATGTGGAACCAGGGTCCACAGCCATGACTCCTCTTCAAGAGATGGGGTAGTTAATAGGATGGGGGCTTCACCTCAGGTCAGGGGCCCCACACACAGCCCACCCAAGGGCCTAAGCTGATCGTGTGCTTTATTGTCCCATGTGGTCCACGCTTGCCCAGGGTCTCATGTTGATCCTGTAGCCATGCCCATTCCTGAGCAGATGCCCTTTGTGGAGGCTGTTGAGGCTGTGACCTCTTGCTTAGTGACGAAGTACACCCTCAGAGACCTGCATATGGTTGACTCTAGGGTGTCCAACTCTTGTTTTGGGGGCTGTTTTATAACTGCTGAGTCCCCAAGGCTGCTCAGGGCTCTGCTACAAATGCTGATGCGGTCAGACCTGCATGGTCTACTCAGGGTGTCCCTGCCTGTACCCTGGGCATGTGACTGTCACTCTCAAGGCTGACCTGAACAGTGCTGGATGTCATGTTCCCTTTTCTGCCCCTGCCCCCATGAGGCCCCACTACCACGTCGCTCCTTCAGAGTCGCTGGGACTCTGAAGTTGAAGAACTCTGTTTCTTGCTCAGGACCAGCCCTGTTACAACAGGTGCTGGGGATGTTTGGAATCCTGGGCAGGTTCAGCCTCCACTTTTTTCCAGCTGGAGTGGGGAGGTCTGTGCATGAGATAACAAATGTGCCTGACTGTGGCCTTCATCCTTCTCCACCTGCCCATGCAGCTACCCTAAGCTGTTTCTGCTCACATTCCATCTACTCTCTGGTCCAGCTCCACCTGAAGCATAGGTCCAGGACTCATTCTGGGGTTGGGTGGCCGTTTGTCTCACTGGTGGGCTCCCAGGAGGGCTCTGTAAGGTATGGGACAACATGCCAGAGCCAGAGAGTAGCACTGTAGTCACAATGGGCCATGTAGCCTTGTTGCTCAGCATTCATGGGCTATTCATTCAGGTCATGGGCGGTGGGGTCTAGCTGAGCCATGAGCATGGATGGATGAGGAGCAATCTGGGGACCATTGGAGTCTAGCTGAACTTCAAGCTAGAAGGGAGTAGACTGGAGACCCTTGTTTGTAAACTTTCTCAGAACACCCCTGACCTCAGCATCTCCTGGACTGTCATGTCAAACCACTGTTTGGGTGGTCAGGGCTATGGGGTCTAAGGACAAAAGAGTCTGGAGGATAAAGCTGTGTCCTCCAGGCTGTAGGTTGTCTAGATCTTCAGACCTATGTCATTTTTGGAGTTACCATTCCGTTTCTTGGGGTCCAGGGGGCAGGGCAAAGGATGAGTGCAATGCATACACTAACTCCTGCTGTCTTTGGTCTAGGTCATGGCTTCATCACCCACGGGACTCACTGTGACATATCCAGGTAGGCACCTGGCTTTGAGACCCAGCACTCACAGTGCAGGGATAAAGGGTTAGAGTTAAGGGACAGCCCTGTTGGATGGGAAGGATATGGGCAGTGGGGTGACAGTGGCATTTGGGGAACCTAGAACAGGTGAGCAGGGTGAGGTGGTGGGCTAAGGGAGGTGCGTGGTTCTAGGGCATGACTGAGTGGCTTGTCTAGGAGTGGCCAGCAGACAGCTGGACCATAGTCTGTAGCTCAGGAGTCAAGTTTGACGGGGTTGGCCCCATCCCTAAGTGTGTCCCAGATAGCGAATAGACAAGGACGCATTGACTGCAGGGGGTTCCCACTCCTCAGGACAGGTTTGTGGGAGGATGGGAATGTCGGAGTACTCAGCAAACAGGGGAAACATCTTGGAAGAAGCCTGGCTGTCAGCGAATGAAGGCTAGAGGGTGCTGACCCAACCTGGGAGGGCTAGGATGTCGCGAGCCTTATTCCTGAGCGGGCGTTCTGCCCTTACTTAGAGGTCTGCAAGTAAATACTCAGGATGACCACAGTGTTTGTTCTAGGAACAAGTTTATTCTGCCAATAGTCAAATCTTCAATTGTTACTATAGCAGGTATAGGCAAACATCAAAACTATAACAATCATTTAAATCTTTAATTATTCCTATGGCAGATATAAGTAAACATCAAACCTATAACAATCCTTAGTCAATCACATCACACATTCAATCACATCGCACATTCAGCAAGGGTTCCTATGTCCTAGGCAAGGTCTTCTATCCTATCTTACTGAGGCATTGGTGTATACGACCTGATAATGGTCCGTGGCTCTCGACGTAGACCTCTGGATCAGCAAGTCTTGATCCGCAGGCAAGAGCTAGTTCTCTGGCTCTTGGAAGGTCTCAGCTGTGAAGTTGCTGGTTCGTTGGATCTCTATGACCACTCTGACAGCATGTCTAGCAAGTCATTTTGAGAACGTCTTCTGGCTGTGAGCCTCAAGTTTTTATACTGTTCTGTGACTACTTTACTTTCTTATTTCTAGATTAGCACGCATGTCTGCTTATCATATAGTTACGTCACACTTGTTCATTCAGCTCAAACTCTTATCACCACTGCACACATTGCTTCATGCTTTTTAGTTTCATTTTGTGTGTCACTTAATATTTCCTCTTAATACTCCTGGACTTGTTTGTCCTTACAGGCTCATAACATAGGAGAGGCTATAGGCCCCATGTGCCTGACCTTGAGCCAGGTGGCTGGTGGCCAGGGATACTTATTTTCTTGTCTCCTCATACGTGGGTACTATAGATCCCTGAGTCTTTTTTTTTTTTTAGAGGTGAGTGGTGCTTTTGTAGGGCCAAGTTCTGTAGGTAAGATAGAGTCCAATAAGACCCAAGGAGAAAGCAGTGGGTGGGGCCACAGGCAGACAGGGTTAGCACACAATCCCATCTGTTGCTGGGATTTTCTGTCAGGGATGCTCAGCCTGGATACTGGGTCCATGTGGAGCCTAAGGTCCAGGGTCCTCCCTGATATCATGGCATAGCAGGGGTGACCCTCACTGTTTTGGCATCTCCCTCTACTACCATCTCACCAGGGATGCCTGTATTTTACTTTGATGTAGTGGATACCCTACCCCAGCACCAAAGAGGCAGAAATGGAGAAGGTACTACTTGAGGACATGGCCCTCTAGCCCTGAGGGCAAGGGTGGTGTGGCATAGGAAGTAGGACCCTGACGCTGATGAGGGACGTGTGAGTTTGCCATGGACCCGGCTATAGTCGGGTGGTAATCAGCCAGCAGCTGCAGGAGGGAAAGTCAGGCAATAATGTCCTGATGTCTGTTTTGTTAGGTATTTGAGTCTCAAAACAATGCTGCCAAAGCTAAAACTGAATTAGAGCACCAGGAAGGACATGGGACATAGTGAACCCATACCTTCCTGACCCCTTGGGTCATGTCCCCTTGGGAGGATGGTGAGTTTAGCTGGAGATGAGGCACCTCATGGAATTTCAACAGCACCCCTCTGGCCTTTGACTTTGGCCAGAGTCATTTGGTTTGGAACTTTTCACCTATGTTCCAGAATTTAGACTTCAGGTTTCTCTAGCTTTTCCCTGTCCCTCGTCAACTGTCCAAATAATCTCAGAAACGATGACTCCAACCCCAAATAGAGTATCCAGACTCAGGGAACATGTTCAAGCCCACTAAGGCACAGAGCCCAGCCCCAGCTCTCCCTCTTTGGCCTTCAAAGGCTCAGTGCTGAGGTCTGGCATCTCTAGTCTCCAGACCCCAGACCCCAGCCCTGACTCACCTGTCCCCTCTCCACCTTCCCTTAGCCATGCCCCATCTCCAGACTGCTAACCCAACCCTGGGAAGGCCTGTGTGGACTCTGCCTACCTGCCTGGCCAGGCAGTACAGGCTGGCAATAGCTCTCCCTCCACCCTGCTGGTTAAGCCTCCTTGGGGAGGTTTTCTTCTGCTATGATGGATTTTCTGTGCTACAAATGCGTCAGAATCTCAGAAATCCTTTGCTTCAGATCAGAGATTTTCTGGGGATTGAAAGCCCTGAGCCTGCATTGGCTTGCCAAGGGCTAAGACAGGATGTTCTGGGAGCAAGCAAAGCCAGCTCCCTGATTTGAGGCCAGCAGATGGGCGTCCCACTTGGCCCTGAGCAGCTGCTGGACACCATAGCCTTGACAGTACAAGGGTCTTAAGACCTGCAAGGACATGTCCTGTGTAGTAAGGGTCTGCCGTGGGGTCCCACGTCTCGGGGATGGGGACAGAACTGCTCACTTGCTTCAGTGACTAGTCAGAGGTGGATGCCCCACAATCCTGGGGTCTCATCTGTAGGTACTGACTGATGGATGGGTGACTTGGGCACTTGGGGTCTCTCTGCCTTGGTCTCTTCGTGAAGAGAGAATTGTCACGTTCTATACTAGCTGTGTTGGCGGCAGGAGGAGTGGAGAAGGGGAGAGATGCTGACTGACACTTTCAGATGGAGCTGTATCCGGGATGTGGCTGAGTGGTCGGGATCCTGAGGCACACAGGCAGAGGCAGGCCCCTCTCTCTCTGCATATGGGGTGCAGAAACAAGCTTACCTGTGGGGCTCTCAACACCCCCAACTGACACCCGTCCTTGAACTGGATTCTGTGGGGCTTGGCATATTCTATGGGACAAGGACTTCACCAGCCTGTCTGTGTCTAGTCTGCTGGCATTTGGAATAGAGGACTGTCACGCTGAAATGGTACTTTGTGTCCCATTCTATGTGATTGTTCCCACCCCATAGGGACAGAATTATGACGGTGCCTCTGAAGAAAGGTCTAGACTTTGCCAACTGGGTGTAGGGTCCCTGGGCCTGCACAGAAGGGGCTGGGGTGAGTCTACCATGAACCCCACCTGTTGGGCATGGAGGGTCCCTTGTTCCTTGGCAGCTAACACCGTTGGCTTTGCACACACTGGCGTTCAACTGCTAGGATGTGGAACAAGGGGGAAGGATGGATTCTTAGAAGAAAATTCCAGCTGTTGAGGTGTCCTGGAGGGAGGGAGTGCCTGCTTTGCTGGGAACACAGATGGAGGTGTTGTCTGTGATGAGCAGAGGGGTCCTGGTGGGAATTACCCATGCTAAGATTACACCAGCAGCAGCCTGTAGCAGGTGGAAGAGCCAGGACAGAGAAGAGGGTCAGACAGAGACAGCAGAGATACGCTGGCCCTGAAGAGGCAGGAGATGAGACATTGCACTCGAGGGTGCCTGAGAGGATGGAAAAGGAGGCTTGACGGGACAGAGAACAGGCCTTGTGGGGCCTGTGGGAGTGAGTGCCTAGACCAGGGAGTGGGTAGTGTGTGAGTCCTAGGATCATAGCCCTGGGGAAACGAGAAACAGGAGAACTGAGGAGAGTCTCCATGGTGAGGCAGAAGGTGGAAGGAGGGGCCTGGGCCATGAAGGGAGGGGAAGCTCTTTGATGAGTGGCCTAGCGAGGGTGGCTGTACAGCTCCCAGGGATTCAGAGACCCTCTCTCCACAGGATCTCCAGGGCCCACGGTTGCTGACAGCCCAAGGTCGGAACGACCACGCGGTGAGATGCCCACGTATGTGAACATCCCCGTCAGCCCCTCCTCCCGACTGCAGCTGCACTACTTGGGCCTGGAGTTCCCAGGGGCCAGTGGGAGTGTGCGAGGTGAGCTCCCACAGGGAAGCCTCAGAGGTGAGTTGTGACCTTAGCTTTGGGCCTGAGCCCCAGGCACGTCAGCCCTGGCTAGGGATCCTTCTAACCTACAGATGACCTTTCCAAACTGCCACCCAGGTCTCCTGACATGATTACTGGGGTGAGTGGGAGTGGAGATGGATCAGAGTGCCCACCCGCCCTATCACCAGAGGCATCTGTAGATTAGGCCAGGGGCAGCTGGGCTGGGAGCTATCCTTGCTTGGTCTACTCACTGTGGGTTGCTTTCAGGGGCCAGCTCCTCCCGCTATGCCCAGATTGACATCGCAGCTACAGAGACAGCACATCGTGTGGGGGTCCGGCATGCGCAGACTCGGGAGGAACGATTGCCAGAGTTGGAGCAGCGGAAGAAAGGGCCCTGAAGCTGTAGCTCAGGTTGGGGCTGGCTGGGCACCTAGCCAGCTGGATTGTCTGATGTGGCCCGGCAGGCCATCCCCTTTTGTGGATAATGGCCTTTGTGGCTGGGGGCCCTGGCCTGTCTGTGTACTCTGGTTGTCAGTGATTGACGCTGAATCTTGGCCTCCTGCTGCAGTGGAGGCTGTGGTGGGTTTTGTGTGTTGGAATGAGCGGTCAGAGGTTCTGGTTCCATAACGTATCAGCTCATTCCAATGTGTGAAAGCCGTGTAGCAGCCTCCTCTCTGCCATCAGGGCCTCTTGCCTCATTGGTACCCAAGACCGACCCTTCTTCTTTTGGCCTGAACAAGTTCTGCTAGGCCATGGGGGTTCCAAGGGACCTATCTCCAGGTAGCCTCAGTCTGTGCTAACAATACAACAAACAACACAGCTACAGCTGGCCGGTGGAGACTGGGAACAGTCCCCCAGGCCTGGAGTGCCAGCTGCACTAGCCATCCCAGATGACAGCTTGTACTAGCAGAGTGCTCTGAACTAGCTCTGTACTGCAGAGGGATGCAACTGCTGTACCACTGACGGGCTCTGCTGCTGGGACCCTGCAGCCTCCCCTCCCCACCTCCTCCTGCAGCGTTGCTCCTGAGACAAGCCCTGTACCTTGGGGTGAAGGCCATGGTGGGGACAGGACTGTTCCCACTTGTCATCTTGTTGGGACCTATTCCAACCAGTTGGGTAAATTGTTTTAAATCTCTACTGTTATATTTTTAATAATCTATATTATTTTCCAAGGCTGTGAGGTCTGTCACATGAGATTTCTGCTCTGGACTGGTTGGGACCAACATCTTGCTGCTGGATCAAGGGGCTCAGGGATGGGGAGCATATGGTGGTGCCATGTTGGCATTTATAGATGTCCCCCATTGTTTGGGGCAGCTCTTGGTGTTTCCAGGACTGAGTTTCTGGGGTGGCAGATCTGCCCTGCCTCGGCCCTGTGGGGAGAAGCTTCGACGGGGCCTCCCCACCCAGAATCCAATCATAGTCTATCACATTCTTCTCTTTTCTGCCTCCAAGGAATCCACAGGTCTGGGGTTGGCTGTGGTGGTGGGGGGTCAGAGAATCCTGTTTCTTTGCAGAGCCCCTGGTGTTGGCAGCTTCTAGAGCATCAGCCCTAGTGCCTCCCCTGCTGACTGGAAGACTGTGACCATGGGAACCGAGAGGACTGACATCCCCGGGCCAGCCTGCCAGTCAGGACCTTGGGGTCTGCCCCGCTAGACAAGGATGCAGTTCTGCGACTGTCTCCAGGGAGTTAAACGTTTAGGACCTGAGTGTGGTGGGTCCCTTGTTGACACCAGCTCGTGGGAAGCAGAGGCAGAATGATTTCCAGGAACTTGAGGCAGCCTGGCTAAACTGTTTTAAAACAGTCAGGAGTCTTGTAGAACAAAGATGACAAGTAGAGTTCAGACCCTGGAACTCACACAAACGCAGGTGGGTCTAGCGGCCCTCCTGTCATTCTGGCACCTCGAAGGCTTCCGTACGGGAGAGCTGGCTAGCCAGATACAGCAGAATTGCTGAATTCCAGGTTCAGTCAGAGACCCAAAGTTGAGAATGATTGAGAAAACACATGGAGTTTTAACTTTGGGCCTCTACTTACACACACACACACACACACACACACACACACACACACACACGTAGTCATGCAACTTCCACATTATTTGCTCACATGTGTAAATATATACATGTGCATACTTACACACTGCATACATATGCCAACATTTTTTAAAAGATTTATTTATTATGTATACAACATTCAGCCTCCATGTATGCCTGTATGCCAGAAGAGGGCACCAGATCTCATTATAGATGGCTGTGAGCCATAATGTGGTTGCTGGGAATTGAACTTAGGACTTCTAGAAGAGCAGTCAGTGCTCTTAACCTCTGAGCCATCTCTCCAGCCCCCAACATTTTTATCTTATACAAATGGCATTCTAGGTAGACATTGCCTATCTCCTATCAATACACTGAGAAGCCACCCTAGCCCATCCGCTGTCAGTCATTGTGAGAAGCCATGCTGCTACTGTGACTCCATGTATCTGGTAACACACTGTGCATGTGGGCCTTGGTGGGTCGTTAGGCATTACTGATGGGTATGGAGGCTCAGGTGACCTGTCCTGCTGCAAGATGCTGCCTTCTGGTGGGTGGTACACTTTCTGCTAGGCTGAGCAGGTGCCCATCTTTGGTTTCTGTCAGATTTTTATTCCTTATTAGTTAGTGAGTGTCTGGAGGACCAGGTAACGTGCCGTACCTTCTGCCATCAGGGTGTGTGCTGGTGGTGTCTGAGTCCCATTTCCATTTCTCCCACGATCAGAGGAGCAGCAGATTCCCAGGCACTCCCACAGCTCCATGCTTCAGAATGGCCCCTCTGCACGGCCTGCTTGTGTTTTTAGCTTTCTTGCATTGGGCTGTTTATTATGACACCATAGATGGGCACTTGCTGAAGTTTTCCATCAGAGACGTTTCTGAAGTCAGAATTTTTGTTGTTGTTGAGACAAGATCTCAACGTAGCTCAGGCCAGCCTTGAATTCAGTGTAGCCAAGGATGAACTTCTGATCATCCTGCCTCTATCTCCCAAGTTCCAGGATCCCAGGTTGTGCCCCTACACTCAGTTTATGTGGCTAGGGACCAAACTAGGTCTTTGTGTGTGCTAAGCAAGCATTTCACCTGCTGAGGCCCCTGCCCAGTGCCTAGGTCTAGATTTATCACCAAAAAGAGCAACCCCGTCCAGCCTCCACTTTCAATGTCTTAAGATTTCTTGTGTTTGTCACTATATGAACGTGTCCATCTGTGGTCACCTGTCAACCCAGCTCTTGCACATCCATTCTCCACGTGGACCATGAGGGTGCACATCCCCTGTGTTTGCCGCACGCGGCCCTGCCTAGGCCCGCTCTCGTGCTTACCCAGTGTGACTGAGAACTCCAGGGCACTGACGCTCATCACTCCGCTTCCCTCCTTGCTAAACTTCAGCTCTCCTTGGGATACAATTTTCTGTGACTCACAATTCATACACGGTCAACACTCCTCCAGCTGTGTAATCTCATCTCAGAATGGCCAAGGCAGGCTGCAACCCTTTTTGTTGTTGATTCTCTTCTTGAAACTTCTGAACCATTCTATTCAAGGGCTTACTGTTAGCAGCTGTTGGTACCTTGCAGCCTTCAGGCACCGTTCCTGGGCTGGGTCCCATGCTTCCTTGACTTTAGCTTTCATCTTCAGGTGATGCCTTGGCACCTGTCTCTAGAAATTCATTTTGTCTTGCATTCAGCTGTGTTAGCTAAGCAAAGGGCTAGGTTTCACACATTATGTAAGCAAGTCACTGTCCCAGCACACAAACACACCATACCTTATGCCTCTAACACTGCCGCTCAGTCAGGTTGCTTACAGCTGCAACAGCTATGAGCAAACTTGCTATGTGGCATTCTTGTCTTAGGACATGAATTCATGCTGGTGCCAGTTCAGGTTGTATGGTGGAGTGTATTTCAAAAAGGAGGTATCACCATTGCACATTGCACTACACACACACACACACACACACACACACACACACACACACACACACACCAACCAGGGCCTGGAAACTCTGAGCTCAGCCGTTTCAGGGGAGGGGGATAACAGTGGCATCTCACTAGGAGAATCTATATTTCTTCATCACCTTGTGCATGCTGTTGGCCCCTGGCAAAGAGCCTACGTGATCCTTTTGCTCATTAAAAGAACTGGCTAGACAATTCTTTAAGGTTTAGGCAAGCCCTTTCTCATGCACGGTAAATAAGATCTTTTTGGAAATAAGGTCTCACGTGCCCAGGATAACTTTAGCCTTCTGACCCTTTGGCTTCTGCTTCCCCAGGGCTGCGACTACAGGTATGTGCCACTGCACCCAGTTCAGGAGGGGCTGGGGACTGACCGCAAGTCTCTGTGCGTGCTAAGTGGCACTCTGTCAACTGAGCATCAGCCCTTCATTTTCTGTTGACTTCCTTAAGTGGCATCTTTGCTGAGTAGATTTCTGATTCTGATGAGTTCTGACTTAAACCTCTCCTCCATGAGTAAACCATTCGACTTGGTTTCCCTTCAGGAAAACCTTCTCCTTTGGTCTTTTTGGTTTTCTGAGACAGGGTTTCTCTGTGTAATCCTGGTTGTCCTGGAACTCACTCTGGTAGACCAAGCTAGTTTTGAACTCTCAGAGATCCACCGACCTCTGCCTCCCAGAGTGCTGAGATTAAAGGCACGCACCACTACTGCCTAGCCATCTTTTTATTATTATCAGTATGGTTTGCACACTGGCTATAGCACATATCGCACTGTGCACAATGCAAGGTGGCTCCAGCTCCCTTTACACCACCACCACTGGTACAAAGACACTTTCCAATGCAGATGTCTCTCTTGGATGCAGAGGTGCCGTTCAGATGCCCGCATCCCTGTTTGTCTCACCACAGATCACCTGGCATCAGTGCCACGCCCCCCCCCACTCCTTTCTGCTGCCCCTCCTACAAGTTCTCACTCACTCCTGGGCCTGGCTGTCTTGTTTTCAACTATGAGCTACCATGGGCTCATGGGACCTTACCTTTGGGTTGGAAAAATAGGGACATAGGTTATCTTCTCAGAAAGAACACTTCGGAAATTATTTATTGTGTGAGCATACATGTTACAGCCCACACGTAGTCAGAGGACATCTGTAAGAATCTGTTCTTTCCTTCTACCATACGGTCCCTGGGGACTGAACTTAGGTCACCAGCCTTAGAAGCAAATGCCATAACCTGCCAGCCTGAGAACTCAGTCACTTTTGCTAGGTGGCAGAGCACTGCAAACCAGAACCACCTCATCTAAGTTTGTAGCGTGAGGTGGTTTCCTTGCCATGAGTCACTCATCCAGGGAGCAGTTTGAGGGTTTGACTCCTGATGGTTAGCAAGGAGTAGCCTCCCGATTTCATGTCTAGAGGTCAGCTCTCAGGAGCAGACACTCCTATACTGGTCACAGCGGCTCCCAGCTCAGCTATGGGCTGTCACTCACACTGAGATGACTCACTGGACTCCCACCCACCTTTATATAATATATAAATATAAACACCATTATATTTCAACACTCATTTCTAAGCAGCATGCAGCCATGGTCTCTGACTCTAGGCACAAAAACAAACCAGAGTGAAGGTCCCATCTCCCTCTCTTGCGTCTCTGATACCAGGTGTCCCCGTTGCAGTTGACTCTTAGCCTGGTGCCTGGGACCCAGCATCTTCCCAGGTCCCTGAGCTCTGTGTGGCACAGGGGGCCCTTGATGGGTACCTGAGTATATGTCTTGCGCTGAACCAGAAAGGTAGAGCTGAGATCCTGGTGACAAGCACTTCTCTGGGCCTCAGACACCGCTGAGAACACTGGGCAGATATTTAATAGTTCTGCAAGGGACACATCCTAGCTGGCATGGATAGTGGCACACACTGTGGGGTGAGGAGCCAGTGTGACATGCTATTCCTTGATGCTGCTGTCCTTAACCCACAGGCTTCTTGCATGCTGCCCTGGAAGTTTTGCTCATGTATGAACATCTACATGTGTTCACTTATGTATAGGTATTCGTGTAAGTGTGTACACACATCAGAACTGTGTGTGTCTTCTCCTATCATGCCC